TAAGTGCAGAGTCCTGCACTTAGGACAGAAGAATCCCATGCACTATTACAGACTAGGGACCGAATGGCTAGGTAGCAGTTCTGCAGAAAAGGACCTAGGGGTCACAGTGGACGAGAAGCTGGATATGAGTCAGCAGTGTGCTCTTGTTGCCAAGAAGGCTAACGGCATTTTGGGCTGCATAAGTAGGGTCATTGCCAGCAGATCGAGGGACGTGATCGTTCCCCTTTATTCGACATTGGTGAGGCCTCATCTGGGGTACTGTGTCCAGTTTTGGGTCTCACACTACAAGAAGGATGTGGAAAAATTGGAAAGAGTCCAGCGGAGGGTAACAAAAATGATAAGGGGGCTGGAGCACATGAGTTATGAGGAGAGGCTGAGGGAACTGGGATTGTTTAGTCTCCAGAAGAGAAGAATGAGGGGGGATTTGATAGCTGCTTTCAACTACCTGAAGGGGGGTTCCAAAGAGGATGGAGCTCGGCTGTTCTCAGTGGTGGCAGATAACAGAACAAGGAGCAATGGTCTCAAGTTGCAGTGTGGGAGGTCCAGGTTGGATATTAGGAAACACTATTTCACTAGGAGGGTGGTGAAGCACTGGAATGGGTTCCCTAGGGAGGTGGTGGAATCTCCTTCCTTGGAGGTTTTTAAGGCCCAGCTTGACAAAGCCCTGGCTGGGATGATTTAGTTGGGGATTGGTCCTGCTTTGAGCGGGGGGTTGGACTAGATGACCTCCTGAGGTCCCTTCCAACCCTGATATTCTATGATTGTATGATTCTATGTTTAGTCTAGAGAAGAGAAAGCCAACGGGGAAAATAAGAACAGGCTTCAAAGATGCACAAGGCTGTTATAAAGAGGATGGTGATTGACTGTTCTCCATGGCCACAGAAAGTAGGACAAGAAGTAACAGGCTTAAACTGTAGCCAAGGAGATTTCAGTTGGATATTAGGAAAAAATGTCTAATTCTCAGGGTAGCTTAGCTCTGGACCAGGCTTTCAAGGGAGATGGGGGGAATTCCCGTCACTGGAGGTTTTTAAGAGCAGGTTGGACGAACCCCTGTCAGGGCTGGTCTAGCTTTACTTGGTCTGGCCTCTGCGTAGCTAGGTGACCTCTCCAGGTCCCTTCCGGTTGGACATTGCTCCAATTCTATGCCCGCGATCTCTGTGTGTCTCCCATTTCTCCAGCTGGTCGTATTCTTTCTCTCTCTCTCTCTCTCTCTCTCTCTC